CGGCTTATTCAGAAGTTTCAGGGCAATTTTTGAAGCGGCGCATCACCACTGCAGAAGCCAATTTTTGGCTTAGGGAGGTGCTGGTGCGTTCTGGCCTTGCTCCAGCACAAGCTGCAAAGTACAGCACACACAGCTGCAAGGCAACCATTCCTACATGGGCTGGTAAGTTTGGTGGTTTCTCCATGGATGAACGGCGCATGTTGACGCACCACATGGATGCCAGTGCTGTGATGCCTTTGTCGTATTCAAGAAACAATTTGACAGCTTTGCATTCCAGAGTTTTCAGGATGTTGACCGCCATTCGCAATTTTGAATTTGACCCTGATTCATCAAATGCTGCCCGCATCTATCAGGACAACAAGCACCTCCTGGACGAGCCGGCACAGCCCCCTCAGCAGCCAGGTGATTGGGCAGAGTCAGAATCAGATGTTTCAGATGAGGAGAGTTTTTCAGAAGGTTGCAGGTTTGTGGATGCCCAGCCAGTGCCAGCCGATTCAGTGACTGGACAGAAACTGCTGCACAAGGATTCCTTGGTAGTCCATGTGAAACGTGACAACCAGACCCTTTGGTGTGGCCGCAAGATGTCTCCAAATTACCGCAATTGGCAAGAGGGCGACCCTGACTTCGCTCAGCTGGTGATTTGCCAGCAGTGTGACAAAGCTCAGCCGTGAGAGAGTTTAAAAATTGGAGTAGCAAGGCAGCCAAGTTTGAGGAGGTATGGCCGCAGACCAAACAGGTTTGTCATTTCACTTTTAAATTTTCTTTTCGAATTGCACTCCACCTGACTCAAACGATTTCAAGATTTCAAAACATCATGGCAAGGGCACAGCTGATTTTGAGGGAGTCGGTCGATTGAATCACAAACTGCACTTTCACCATGCGCTGCACACACATGATATCTTATATGTTGTTTTACATTGATATATATATATATATATGACCAAACTGGAAGCATGGCCTAAATTACATCAAGTTTGAGGTGGCAAGCGCCACAATCCAAACAGATGTCACCTGTCAACAGGTAAGGTCAGTTTGAGCTTCTTGTGTGCCCGCAATTTCCACTGCATCAAGTTTGAGGCGGCACTCGTCGCAATCCAAACAGATGTCGGGAAACAGAATGAATCGGGACTCCATTTTTCAACACTTGCATGGAAACACTCTATCTGTCGTGAACACTTGTTATTTAATCCATGTACTTCTTTGCCATTCGTTTTACTTGCCTGCCATGGTTTCACTGGAATCGAAAGCTGCATGGGAAGCACGTGCACGTGCTATCGGAGTGCCCGATGGCTTTTTAGCTGAGCTGCAAGGATGTAATCTGGACACATTTGGTCAATGGGCATTTTGCTGTCAATGCGATCAGAACAGTTTCGATGACACACCTATCAAAACTGCAGTGGATGCTTTGCTAGGGCGCGAAGTGACACCACAGGAGATGGTCTTGTGATGAAGGCTTTACTTTGAGGGCAGAACTTATGCAGCTGCCGACATGCAGGCGAGGATTGAACGAACTTCGGAGGACAAGCCGAGGACCATGCCACTTGCAGAGCGCATGGCGAGAATAGAGCGCCAAAAAGGCGACTTGGTGGGCGTCACATGGACGGCAGAGCTGGAGCCGTCTCACAAGTTGGTAGATAAAATAGTGGCTATGCAGGATGATGGGGCGCTGCTGTTCATCCCACCACATGCTTGTGTCAGCCGGGTGCAAGAGATCCATCAGGAGAAACACGAGGTTGCCTTGACCTTCGACTCCGCAGGCAACATCCGTATGGGCAAGAAAGCAGAAGAGTTGAAGTGTGATACAAATGGTGATTTGAATCTGAGAAATGCCTGGACCAGAAGAAATCTTGCCTACGATCAGGCGGGTCTGGCCAGTTTTGTGGTCTTGGAGAAGTGGACAACAAAGCTGATGCTGTCAAAACTCAAGGAACCGCCTTCTGGGTATCGCTACATTACAACACAGCAGATCTGCGAATGTGACAAGGAGATGTGGCTGCAGCTTTCCCAGTTGTCTCGTGGGAAGCTCCAGCCAACAGCGCCAGATGTGCGGCCCTTGGATGACCTCATTGAAAGGCTCACAACATCACCGGAGATTTTGTGCTTCTTGACACCCCTGCAAGGGGGCAAGCGTGATGCAGGTGACCATACAGATGCAGCTGGGCCCAAAAAGCCCAAGCCTGGGCCAAGTGCACCGGCCGCTCCTTCCAAGCCGACGCCAAAAGCAGCAGAGCAAACCACAGGCGCTACAAACTGGCGCAAAGTGCCCCAAGGCTGCCAACGTAAGGGAAGCAATGGATGGAGGTGCCTGAAGTTCCAATGGGGATTGTGCAACAGACAGAAGGAGAACAAGTGTAAGTTTGGAGTGCATGAATGCTTTAAGTGTGGAGCTAAGCGCCCCTACAACCAGTGCGAACACTGACTCCCGGAGGAACCAAAGCAGCCTGCCAATCAACGACAAACGACGTTTATTGAATTTTTCTCAGGGTCGGGGGCCTTTTCCCTGGCTATGAAAAATGCAGGGTGCCAAGTTTTTGCAGTGGATCACCAAGCAAACCGTTTCACGCCAAAGGTGCCCACTTTCACCATAGACCTGAACCTTGAGGACGAAGTCACAGTGGCAAATCAGATGTTAGAATTCGTAAAACCAGATGCAGTCCATTTTGGACTCATGTGTGGCACATGCAGTCGAGCCAGGGAACACCAGGTTTCCAAAGAGCTGCAACGGCAGGGGGCCCCAACACCTCGACCCCTCCGTGACGAATCCAATTTGTTTGGGCGCCCAGGGCTGTCGCCTGCCGACAAATTCAAGGTGGACAAGGCCAACACCATTTACAGGCATGCATTGACACTTTTGGTAACATGCTACATGCTGCAATGCATTGTTTCGATAGAAAACCCTGCACGTAGCTGGCTATGGCCCCTCTTGGCCCTCCTGGTCAAGCAGACGGCCAACGAGGGATTCATCAACTGGTATTTTTCGCTGGAAGCTACAATGTTTGATGCATGCATGCATGGCTCCTTTAGGAACAAAAGCACCACCATTTTGGGCACCCCTGGCGTTTTCAATTCTTTAGCAGTGCGTTGCGACAGGTCTCATAGCCATGAACCTTGGTCGGCTAAGAAACTGGAAGATCACAGATGGATCTTTGATACAGCTGCTGAAGCGGAATACCCAGCGGTGCTTGCTAGGCGTTTGGCGGCCTGCATTCTGCAAAAACTGGAAGCAGGACCAACCTTTTTAAACCTCAAGCAGCTGCGCTTGGACAGTCTCCAAGCTCAAGGAAGACAGCATCGGGCCCTTCAACAACTGGTGCCCGATTTCGAAGCTTTTCTTTGGCGATCTCCTTCGATCCCACTGGCCAAAAACGAAAAGCCCCTGCCACCAAAAACAGCGGGGGAGGAACTCGAGGTGGCTGATGAAGACCCTGCGCATGAGGGTGCGGTCAAAGTAGGTGTTTGGATGGAGCCAGAGGCCCACATTGCAAGGGCACTGCAGCTTTGGCACCCAATGGATTCAACTATTGTTTTGCCGGACTCCCTGATGAAAGCCTTATTTGCCATGGTCACCAAGGAGCCTGCAGCGATAGCTAGAGAAAGGTTAGAAATGCTGAAGCTCTACAGAGATAGAGCGGCCAACTTGCAAGCAGCCGAAGCTGACCTGCACAAAAAGTTGCCAGCGCATGTTCAGGGGGTTGTTAAGGGGAAACGCCTTTTGCTTTTTGAAGAACGTCTGAGAGCGAACTCCTTTTCTGACTTGCAGGTCATGCACGACTTTTTGGAAGGTGTTGATTTGGTAGGAGAAGAGCCGATGTCGGCACTTTACAAAGAAAAGCTACAGCCAGCCACCATGACTGTTGAGCAACTGAATATGTCAGCACCACTCCACAGAAAGCTTGTGATAGGCCGACCCCTTGCAGACCATGAAAAGGAACATGCAGATAGGTTAGTGGAGCTATCCCAAGAGGAGGTGGAGGAATCATTCCTCCGTGGCCCTTTCTTTTCTGAAGACGAAGTTTCGGCGGAGCTGGGAACGCAAAACTGGACCCTGACCAAGCGCTTTTTGTTAGTTCAGGGCGATGACGGGAAAGAACGCATAATTGATGATTACAGGAGAAGCCATGTAAATGCAGCCTTTGCTTCCCGGTCCTACTTGGAGTTGCAGGATGTGGATGTTTTGGCAGCCCTTATAACCCTCTTAATGCACTTGCTGAAAGGAGGCCACGATGTTTCCCTCCCGCTTTCAGATGGTACGGTCTTGAAGGGAAAGCTCTCCCGAGCAGCCATGTCAGGGGAAGCCATTCTAGGCAGGTGTTTTGATTTGTCAAAGGCCTATAAACAACTTGCAGTAAGCACGGCCAGCCTTCGGTATTCCGTTTTGGGTGCACGGAACAGCAGTGGCAGGTGGTTCTACTACATTGGGCAGTCCTTGCCTTTTGGTTCAACAGCAAGTGTTTACAGTTTCAACAAGATGGCCCGGGCGCTTCAATTCCTGCTCTGGGAAGACTTTGGGGTGGTAACCACCAACTTTTATGACGATTACCTAACACTGGAGTTTGCTGGTGCCGCGGAAAATACCACGCAGGTGGTGTCAGGCTTCTTTCAATTGCTTGGCTGGAGGCATGCTGTAACGGGCAAGAAGGCCAAACCTTTTGCTTCGACCTTTGCGGCTCTGGGGGTGGAATACGATCTGGCCAACCTCCATAGCTCTTTCTTTACAGTGGGCAACAAACCTGAACGCCTCCAGCGCATTGGGCGCCTGATTCAGCAAGTTGCCCAGGAGAAAGCAGTAACCAGTTCCACAGCAGCTTCCCTACATGGGCTTCTGAATTTTGCGTCTGGCTTTGCGCTGGGCAAAGCACTACAACCAGCGGCTCAAGGCTTTTCTTCTCTGGCAATGGGTGCCAATCTCCCTCCGCGAGTGCTAGCAGATTTGTGCCAGCATGCCCTAACAGTTCTTAGATCACTCCAACCTCGCAAGGTGGCAACCTCGGATGAGCCTCACCCCATAATCATCTACACGGATGGTGCATTTGGAGAAGACCTTGCGGATTGGGGGGCAATCGTGTTGGACACTGCCACCAATACAAGAGAATGTTTTGCGGGACGAGTCCCCGCTTTTCTGCTGGAAGCATGGCGTGGATTGGTTGGTGAGCAACTTATTTGTCAGATTGAGATGTATGCGGTTCTGTGCATACGGTGGCATGCGAGACACTTACTTCATGGCCGGCGTGCAATCCTGTTCATCGACAACGAGCCCTGTAGGTTTTGCCTGATCAAAGGAAGGTCTCCATCTGACCCACTTTTTCGGATGGCCCATGCTTGCTCCTGTTTGGAAGGCGCCATGCCATGTTACTTATGGTACGAACGTATTGCATCATATTGCAATCCTGCAGACCTCCCCTCAAGGAGGCAAGCCGAACAAGCCTGTCGAAGGTGGAACCTGAAATTGGGTGGAGATATCAGCTTGCCGTCTGAGCTCTATACCTCCATCATTGACGGAGTGCCTTTTCCTCAACTGGCATGGGATGGAAACGATGTTAGCTGGATCCTCGAATAACGGGGGAAAACACATGGATCTCAAAATGGCCGAGGTCTCCCAGAGACAATCCGGTCATAAGAGAGGAAAACAAAACATGTGACCAAAGTGATTTCGAAGACATCACGACAGTCACCTTGAACCGTGTGATTGCTCCCCCGACTCTGCGAGAAAAAGAAAGAGGTCCTTCCAGCATGCAGTTTGTTCATCACGCTGAATTTGTTTTAATTTTAATTGAGAGATTTTGGCGAAGCGAAATCACCTTTATTAACACCTATTACGCGCTTCCGTAATGAGGAGGTTTCCTTCTAAACAACCTTGGGGGCTGTAAAGACGTAGGTGAATTATGGGTACCATGAAAGCCTTGTCTTTCCTGCCCAGCGCAGGAACGGAGCGCACAAGGTTGTACAAAGGAAACCAACCAAAAAAAAATAATGAAACACAAACCAAACTGTGGAAACCACTACTTGAAATGCGTTTGTGTTCGTTTTAAGTTTCAGTTTTACTGAATCTGTTTTCTGAGTGACTGTCTGATGATTATTTATATTCTGTATTTTACATCTCAAATTTAGGGATGTGGTGGGCGGGTTCACACAGAAAATTTCTGTGACTTCCCATAGTTTTTGACCCTCCCAAATTCCTCTTCGAGTCACCCACCCTTTAACTATGGGGGGAAAACACATGGATCTCAAAATGGCCGAGGTCTCCCAGAGACAATCCGGTCATAAGAGAGGAAAACAAAACATGTGACCAAAGTGATTTCGAAGACATCACGACAGTCACCTTGAACCGTGTGGTTGCTCCCCCGACTCTGCGAGAAAAAGAAAGAGGTCCTTCCAGCATGCAGTTTGTTCATCACGCTGAATTTGTTTTAATTTTAATTGAGAGATTTTGGCGAAGCGAAATCACCTTTATTAACACCTATTACGCGCTTCCGTAATGAGGAGGTTTCCTTCTAAACAACCTTGGGGGCTGTAAAGACGTTCCCTTCTAAGATTGGGGTGCTGAAGCAGGAGTTCAAGGACAGGTTGAGGATAGCTTCGATGGCTGCTATCAGCAAACCTGATGGATCAGTCAGGCCTCTTCATGATGGTACACACTCAGTGAAGGTCAACCACGAGATCAGGTATCAGGACAAGATTCTGTGCCCTGGGCCACCTGAGATTGCAGCTATGGTTCGTGAAGCTTCGGAGTCAGGTGAAGCATGCTTCTGCGTCAGTGCAGATATCAAGGCGGCTCACAGGTTGGTTAAGATTCGCCGTTCTGACTGGGGCTACATGTGTTGCCGTGCGGATTCTTCATCAGACGTGGTTTGGGTGAATCAGGTTGGAACATTTGGAATTTCCAGTGCACCATATTGGTGGGCGAAGCTTGCTGCATTGGTTGGAAGGTTCGTCGGGTACTTGTTCCATAACAGGTGGTTGATGCAGATGATTTACGTTGATGATTTGCATGGGACGTTTGTTGGCCAGGAGAAGTTCAAGGCCCTATGGATTTGGGTGCTGGCATATGAATTAGTTGGCACACCATTTGGGTATCATAAGTTCAAGGGTGGATTTTCTTCGGAGTTTGTCGGCTTCTGCATGCGTTATGACATTGCGGAGGTGGGCATCTCTTCAAAGAGGGGTGACTGGCTGGTTACTTGGATCAGCAAACTGGCGGAACAAAAGTTTGTGGTGGCTTCAAGAGATTTTGTGGAGTTCCTTGGGCGGCTGAGCTTCGTTGCACAGCTCCTCACCTGGCTGAAACCTCATTTGGCTCCGTTGTTTGCATGGTCATCAGTGATTGCCAGAAGCACAGTGGGCAGACTCCCTGAAACAATTATTGTGACGTTGAGGTACATACTCTTGGAGCTGCAGGCAGAGACATTCATGGTTTCCACAAGGCGACCCATTAAACATGTGGGGGATCAATTTAGGACAGACGCAAAATGCAGTGACGGGTTGGTCATTCTTGCTGGCTGGGAGCTCAAGACCCGGAGATGGTTCTCGTTGCGTGTTTATCCTGGAGATGCCCCTTACCTTTTCAAACACAATGGTGAGTCCCAGTGTGCATCCACCTCTGCGGAGTTGATGGCTACGATGTTGGCTCTGGCTGCGTTTGACTGGTTGCGTGAGAGCAAACACCGGAAGTCTCTTCAAGTGGCCTTCCATGCTGGCACAGACAATCGTGCAAATGAGGCTTTGACTTTGAAAAGGGCAACAACTAAATGGCCGTTGATGGCCCTGAACATGCAGATGTCGTCCATGTTGTCCAAAGCTCGTCTTGGCCTGAATCTCCAATGGAGGCCGAGGGAAGAGAACACTGAAGCAGATGATTTGACGAACGAGCGGTTCGATGACTTTGACCCGAAGTTGAGAGTTGAAGTCTCCCTACAGAGCATGGATCTTTCCATTTTGCAGGCACTGGTTTTGGTACATGAGGAGTTTGAAGTTGCAAAGCAATCAGCGAAGGTCGAGCGCGAGCGTGACCCGGCCTCCAAGAGTAAGAAGTTTGATAAGTCCCCTTGGTGACCACATTCTTGTGACACCTTCCTTTCTTGACATCTTCTGAAGAGGGGGCTTTGAGATGTCTGCGATTTACGTTGTTACAAAACCTTTCAGGGATAGTGGAACTGGTTGGATGGTCTCTGTAGACCTTTGGCACCTTCGATACATGCAGAGCAGTCAACAGAATTCACAGCCTTAACGAAGGTGTTTGAACGACCGCTCAATGGCGCAAGACGCAACCACCTTGGCAAAAGGGAGTGAAGCTGATTTGAATCCGTCGGATGTTCATCTTGTGCTGCATTGATTTCAGTTTTTCATACATGTCAGTTTGCTGCCACCACTTGTGATTTGCGATTTTGATTTTTCAACATTTGGCGTTTCCGCACGAACGACGCGTTTGCGAAGCTGGCAAAATTTCTGGAGACCTCACACACTCATCCAACACAGTGTAAAATGTAGGCATCATTGGGCTTGCCCAATGTGTCTATATGGAACACTGTGTTGGCCGGGTGGTGGTGGGGTACGTTGGTGGTTTGGTGGCTCTTGCCATTTTCCTGTCTTGGGATCACTCGTGGTGAGCATTGGATTTCTTGGATGTCAGTCTTGTAACAATTCAACTTATTTTGGTTTGGCACAGCTGCACATTTTCTTGGAGAAGTTCATTTTTGATTTTACGTTGATCCAGAGTTGCGACAGTCTTCACAGTTTGCAAGTTGTTTTCTGGTCTTGTGGGATTTCTTGTGCTTACAATTCAGATGCTGTGATTGAATCCTTTTGGAGTGCTTTCAGATTTCAGTTGATGTCTTGCTGATTTCGACACCTCAGTGTTATCCGTGCTGTCATTCAATTCAATGGGAATCATTTCAATGTTGTTGAATTTCGTGAAGTACTGGCTTGGAAAAGGGGTAGATTTCATTTGAAGTCCCAACCCCCCCACCGCATTTTTCTGCTTGCGCACAGCGGGGCTTTGAGATGTCTGCGATTTACGTTGTTACAAAACCTTTCAGGGATAGTGGAACTGGTTGGATGGTCTCTGTAGACCTTTGGCACCTTCGATACATGCAGAGCAGTCAACAGAATTCACAGCCTTAACGAAGGTGTTTGAACGACCGCTCAATGGCGCAAGACGCAACCACCTTGGCAAAAGGGAGTGAAGCTGATTTGAATCCGTCGGATGTTCATCTTGTGCTGCATTGATTTCAGTTTTTCATACATGTCAGTTTGCTGCCACCACTTGTGATTTGCGATTTTGATTTTTCAACATTTGGCGTTTCCGCACGAACGACGCGTTTGCGAAGCTGGCAAAATTTCTGGAGACCTCACACACTCATCCAACACAGTGTAAAATGTAGTGGCCAATGGTCGCTGCTTGGTGGAAAGAACGGTTGCGCTATGTCGGCCCATATGGAGAACTCACCACAGTTGTCTTTGTTCACATCTCAGCTGACACTGGTCTTCATAAGGTACACCCAACATGGGCAGGGACGTGCATCCTTGATGCTTGTGTGTTCCTCTTTCCGACCATCAATTTTGCACTGATTGACAGCGATTGTGTGCCAGTGACCCTCTTTGAGATACGAGAACTGTGGCTAGCGAGCACTGACCCAACTCGACCAGCTGCATCAAGCAAGATTGCAAAGAGCAAACTGTCAAGCCCCATTGCGTCATCGCACAAACGTGCGCGCTCAGTTGACACGGGAAGGGATATGCAGCAGCCTGGTCCACCATCGAAGCTATCTAGATCGCATAGTGCGGACAATCTTGCTGTCCGAAAAGCTGATCCACCACGAGCCCCTCCCTTCACCTATGGTGCCAATTTGGCAGACGAAGTTGATTATGGTGATTCGCCAGACCCAAGTCCCCGCATGTCTCGTCGGGCGACGTCCAGCAGCGATGACTCTTCCCCGGCTGGGTCAACCAAACCTACCCGGAAGGACAAAGCAGACGTGGATAAAACTGCCAGTGCGTGCAGGCCCAAAGGAGTCATCCTTGTGAGTGAGGCATTCACTGAAATCAATGCGGGTCTGGTCATTGTATTAGCTTCGGGTCATGAGAGCCCTGTACCTGTCACTGCCTTGGAGGACTCGGACACGGATCCTGATGAGATAGCCCATGTTATTACTCGTGCTTACCACAGGCATGTTGAAGCCTACCTTGCTACCACGTATCCACCTGCAGATGTTGAGCAAGCAGTCGCTAGTGGATTACTTGGCTCTCCTCTGCTTGGCACGTCCACTCGTGTTACTGCAGATTGGTGCCATGCGTGGAGTTTGTTAGGCCAGTGGTCTGGATTGGTCACTTTTCCTGTCCCAGCCTCTGGAGTCTGGCCGCGCCATGGTCATTTACGGAAGATCCTTGATGGGTACCAAGGCAGACAACCAAACTTCCATAAATGGGCTCGGCCTGCCTATGAGCAAGGTGCCCTTCCGACCCTTAGCCTGCTGCCAGGTGAGGTCAGTGTACGAGTGCTACCAGGAGACAAGATGTACCAGGCCATGGAAATCGAGCCACATTACATGCGGCCTGTTATTCTGCATGGGTTTGGTACCAATGCCAAGAAAAGAATGCCTAGCAGTCTCGCTGACCTCGCCCAATATGGCTGGTTGCCGTTGGCTGCAGCTTTATTTGGCACACAAGAATGGAAGCCTCAATGGCTGCATCACAATTTCCTACCAGTAGTTGGTCTGCGACTGCATGCCAAAGTGCCTCCTCCTTCACTTTCCCAGGCTCAACTAATTTTGCTGTGTGGACTGTGGCAACGAAAGGAACAACCGGAACCCTCATGTGCATCGTTGCAGCAAGCAGCTCCCCTGAAATTTGGTCTTCCGTTACCTTTCAGAGAGATGGCTAAGTGGGACGTCACTGTCAATGAGCAGACCATAGATGTTGGAGAATTGTCCAAACAAAACTACATTGGAAGAACACCTGCTGCTGCGCTGCCCGCAGCACTCAAGGGCTCTGACAAGTGGGCATCCTGGATTTTTTCCCTCTCAGAAGTATGGCAAGATGACGCCCCAATGCAGGACCGACCCCTTGAAGTGCACTGCAGTGGATTAGGAGGTGGCTTACTCAGTGGCGAACACGACTATGATATTTTCCTACAAAATCATGCACAAGCAAAGGTGTATGGCCCATCGCTTGCTATGACAGACAATTGGGAAGCACATGTCACCCAATTGGGCCTCACCAAAACAGTGCATGAATATGCGGTATACCAGCTACTCTCCACTGCAGACGGATGGACAGCTTGGCGAGATTTCCTCCCTGAACATTTCTCTGATCACCAACTGCTGCTCACGAGAGCGATTCGTCTCATTGAGGCCGCGAATATCCGGCCAGCCCATGCCAGGCCACCACACCCGACCTGGTCAACAGCAATTATGCAGATCTTTCGTTGTTATCATCCGCAAGGAAAACATCTCTTTCTGAAGTCATGCTTTCCTCACTTGGTCACTACAGTGGATACAGGAGGTGTCAGGGACATCAACGTTTATGGGTTCTCGGCAGGGTCCTACACGGGCCTTGCAGTTCACGAGATCCTGAATGAATTCGCTGTATTTCCAGGCCTCACTAAAGTTGCTGCGATTGCGACGCCGCCAGAGATGATGCGACTTGCCACTGGCGAACGCAGAGTCACTCTTGTGCACTGCCTGGAAGACCGGCTTTGTGTGTGGAAACCTGACTCTCTGACAGAATTCAATTATCAGGTTGTTCTTATAGAAGGGCACCCCACATGGAGTGGGCGTGCCAAACACTCATATGGCCACTTGCTCTTCATTGACCTTGATGAAGGGGTCCATGAAATTCAAAGATTACAAATCACCACCCCTCAAGTCATTCCACACGGGGTACGGTGCGAGGGATTGCTGCGAGTACTCTCATGGGTTAGCTTTGATCTTCCTGAGCACCTCAAGATGACTCTAAGCACTCTGTTAGTAGCAGCTGGAGAGGGGAACACTGAGCTACAAACAGTACCCATTGTCGGTCGGGACATTCGGGATGGTCAGCCTGATACGGAAGCTGAACTACAAGCAGCTCTGATTGCGATGATTCCCACACCGGGAGGATCCCATGATGAGGGTGGTTTGCTGGTTCGCAACTTACTGGCGGAATTCCTGCGTGGTTTTTCATTAAGAACCCTCATCTTCCTACTGGACATGGTGCTTCCGCAACTAGACGCCTATCATGCGGGACGGCAGCTCCAACACCTTCAGCCCTGGGTCAGTGTAGAACTAGCACAGCAGAAGAAGCGAGGGCAAACTGGAACACGGTTGCAGGTCACCTATCAATATGAGGCGTATGCTGGTTTTCATGTCATTCACCTACATACTGAAGGTGCCCCTCTCCTACTCTTTAGTGCACCTTCGGATGTTCCAAAGATCTCGCCGCGCGATCTCTGTGAAGCTGGGAATCTAGGCAACCTGGAAGCCAACGTGATGGCGGGCAGAGCGCTACTTGGGGTACTCCAGTTGCCAGACACTCAGCAGCGGTGTGTTATACTCCTGGTGCATGAAAAGGTGATGCCCAGCGGAACCAGCAAGAACCCTGCTCAGCGAGCAATCAAACGCATTGCCCCGAAGTTGCTAGAGCTTGTAATCGTCTCGCTACCCATTGCTCGGACGTTTTGTGGGCGACTTTTGGACCAGTATCTCAAAACAATGAGTTACTTTGATCCTGCACAGGACTGGCCGAAACCCATCGAAGAACACGTGTCTATGGCCGTAGTGTGGGAAGAGCTAGCCTTCCTGGGTGACACACGCAGCCGCCATGAACTCTTAGTGTTTGCACAAGCTAACCAGTCGCGCCTACCTTTGGCCATGGGCATCGTACAGCCGCATATACCTGTTCGCCGCATGGCCAGCGAGCGCAAAACGCAGCTGACTGATGCACTAGTCAGAATCTTGAGCCGGTTCCTGACACCAGCCACGATCTCGATGGATGGGGCCCATGACAGTTATTACCGTGAGTACCTCCTTCCTCTAGCAGCCCACGGTGACGGACATGTCTTAACGGTCTCAATTGCA